TCAAGGATCTCGTTGGAAAAAGGCTAAATCCCAAGGTCAATATTCGTTCCGCTCTCCCCCGAGTATTGGCTCGACACTGGCATAATGCTTCTGTGATTGATTTCTTTATATATGACACAGAAAAAGTCAAAGTGTTTCTACAAGTATCAGAATCCTCCTGTGCCAATCATAAGACCAAGCTCCCTGATCTTTTCAAAGATGAGGTCTATGGACATGGACTTTCAGTTTATGATTTCTTTTGCAAATGTACAGACCCCAACCATGTTCCAGACAAGAATCAGAAAACAATGAACATTATGTTTATTTAACACCCAGGAATCATCTATGACTACTAAAAATAAGTCATTTGATAAAACAGTTTGCTGGTAAAGATACCAAATATTTCCTTCGTGATTTATTTGACTAGCAGTCTGGATATCTGATAAATAAAGGGAGAAAAATTGGTTCTGTATGCGCAATGGATGGTGTATATGTATGAGTAGGCGTGCGCTTGAACTCTTTCATCAGTTAGTGGTCGATAAACCGTGTTGTTGTTAGACGAACTGTCGTACGTGCGCGTAATACGGAGGATATGTGTACAATTGTCTGAGTATATATGATATGAATAGACGTGTATTAGAACTTTTTCATCGCTTATGTGGTCGATCATCGTGTCGTTGTTAATATGTGCGTAATATGGAGTGGTGTAAAGGATTCTCGTTGTATTTACGTTTTGGAGGAAGAGAGGTTGTTGTGAAGGATATAGCTAGTGGTCGATAAACCGTGTCGTTGTTGAGTGTTAAGAGTTCGTTGTATATTTAAGATAATTTGTATTTGCGCTTTGAAGGAAGAGTGAAGCAATGCCTGGGTATATATATACATGTATGAGTAGACACGCGTTCGCGCGTTAGATGACGACATTATAACATAATATTGCGTCTGTCATGATTGTTTCCGTAAATAAGAACAATAGAATCAGTGTAACATTCCGGGGTACACGCGGTAAAAATTTTTTTTCACTGGTTAACGAGTTAATTGTCATGGACGGTCAGGAATGCTGTAGAAACATTTGGAAGAATTGTAAGGTGCTTTAGCCTTATAAGTATAAATGTTGCTCAGCTTATGCTGTAGAAACATTTGGAAGGATTGTAGGGTGCTTTAGCCTTATAAGTATAAATGTTGTTCATGCTGTGGAAGGATTGTAGCCTATAAGTATAAATGTTGTTATCTATGTTGCACATGCTGTAGAAACATTTGGAAGGATTGTGAGGAGGTGCTCTTTTAAATGCGAGAGTCTGCGACTGTCAACCAATAGTTAAGCATAAACGAACATCGATACGCAACACAGCATGACATAATATCGCGATTGTCATGGCTGTTTCCGTAAATATAAAATTTTTTTTATTGGTTACACGTAACAATTATAATTGTCACGGGCGGGCGTATAAACTGATCTCTATGGTAATAATATAATATCAGCATTACCTTTGTGGTATGGCGAGTGACAGATCACAACTTTGTATACACGTAAATAAACAGTCACATGCTGTATAAACATTTAGAAAAATTGTGGGGAGGTGATTATTTTGCTGTATCACTATGTGGAGCTATAGATAAGTTGTATACACACTAATACTAACGTACAAGAAACAAAACCATCGATAGGTGTACATATGTTACAATGTTTAGTAACAATATCAGTTAGCTTTAATATTATTACTTCAATAAATATCAATTATAATACTGTTACTAATTCTCTGTATTATTCTTAGTATACTGTGTTATTCCGATCTGACATATTAATATTAGTGATTATATAAGTCCAAATTATTTATCATATTTTATTGGATATAAAATACTGCGGTAGTTAGAAATAGTCATAAAAACGACCTTTCCTCACAGCTGAAAATATTCAGCCGTTTGGTTCAGAAACGTTTTGGTTCCATTAAATGAGTTTCTAACTCTTGTTCTCAAATAAAAGTCTAATTACCGATAAAACGAAAATCCAACCGTCCCTAATTGTAAATACATAAACATGGTTGATTTACCCCGCATAACGTCCCTGAAAACGACGATATATGAATTTAATGCATAACGAAACATTGTTAGACTTTTGTCATAAACTTGTTAGCTTATTGCAAGCGATCTATTATTGAAACTGATTTGTTCGAATGAAAGGATAATAAATGCAATTACAAGTTATTTAAAAGCTCTCGTAATGATAGTAAACGAAGAATAAACTGTTTTAGAGTTTATTCGTAAAAATGGATATTACTCGTTAACGGATCATGTTTATACAACGGAGCGATGTATTCGCTAAGAAGACTCAGCTTTATCTGATTTGCCATTAGATGATTTTTGACATTTTCGAAGTACTGTAAGTGCGACCAGTTCCTAACATATTGAGATACGTTTTTCTGACAAAGAGGCGTATTGCGATCTCAATAATAAAAGTTCTTTTATTTGTACGCGTTTTCTTTTTAAGACGTCGGCTTGCAGTTATTTTTCCACCATTCATTGCTTTTCAGTTGGACCATTAAAAATATGTCTTGTTCGGATCTAGAGAGAGCTTAAAACTCTTCACGTAACTCGGCAATTTTTCTCTCGGAATCAATTTTGAGCAACCACATTTACAACCAATACGCGTGGCTTTTTCATATTCTACGGAGTCATTATGTTCGTTATTCTTCATATACGGGTAGTCCTACATATAAATTTTATGTTTCACCGTTTTGTTACTTTTGGCTGTCGGTATTGTAACTATCATTATATGCCTGGGATCCGAGTACACCCTTATTGCATATTTCTATAACCACCCGCTCTCTTCGATGGACTCTGAAAAGATTTCATACATATAATAAAACGTTTGCATATATTTGGTTTCATTTTTATTAGCAAAAAACAAATTTGCCATTCACATAAATTTCATTCTCGAAGACATTCTCAGACTGCGAAAATTTAAAAGCATACTTAACATGAAAGTCACTTTAAATGCTATAAAATATTAACTAAGACTATTGTTATGTACAATCAGTTATCATTAATATAACTAAAACTACCGGAGCTATCCATGAATCGAGCACTCATTCGCACATTTTTAAACTCTTTATCATGCAAGAATTGTACAATATTAAGTCCGCAAAGTTCTGCACCAGATGGATAATAGGGATTTTGGGTTGAATTATCCTTGCATGTGAAATGTACTATCCAAACTTCTTTCGCATGTAGCTTATTCCCATATTCAATTGCCCATACAAAATGTTCATTGAGTTGTGTTCTGGTTGCAGTAGCTAGAAGTTCCAAAACAACCATCTGGTATGGAGTTTTGATTACAAGTGACCACAAAATTGTGTTGTTTGGAAATCCAGTTGATCAAGATTCTGTTCATCTCTGTATTGTAGGTACTTTCTCAGGGAACATGTTTGTTTTTCTGACCATTCACATATACATCATGTGCTGTTTTAAGTGACTGATAGAATGCTTGGGAAATGATGTCTTGATCAAAGAATTGAACAACTGTCTTCAAAATGTTGATAATATCAAGGAATCCATCATGTCTGCAACTGTTGGGGTGGACTTGAATAATTCAGGAATGACTCTTGGCTGAATGAGCTCATCTACAAGAGAAGATGACATTTTAAATTTATCTCTGCTTTCTTCATCCCTAATTAGCACACCCTCAGCTGTTGAGAATTCTGCCAAGTTTCTTTCTTCATTGTCAACAATGTGTACTAAATCAAAGAATCCTACGAATGCAGATTGAACAAGCTGCATAGCTTGCCTGGCTTTATCCTTGGTAGGTATATGGACTATCTTTCTGAAGGTGGCATAATCAAGCATCAATTTTTGCAATGAATTGGTGGTGAAGTTAACCAAGTTAAGAAGTCAAGTTGTCTTCTTTCATCAAGTTTCCTTATTAAGTCTAAATAGTAGCTTTTCTGTATAGGCATACAAGCCCAGCATGTCTGACAAAATAATAGAATCATGGAAAGTGAATTTTAAACTTTGGTTTATCACATGACTATACAACAAATTTCACATACCCATTTGTTTGTTCTCAACTATTGCTGGATCAATGGTGAAATTGTAGTCATGTGCAAAGTCTCTATATTAATATAATGACTGTACTTGTTCCTTGTGAAATTTGGATTTTGAAATGGATCATTTGCATTGAAAGGTGACATACTTTTGTTTGAACTCAAATGTAAGATGCTGAAGGAGAATATAAATAATTGCATTTTGCGTTTTTAATGCTTCAGATGGTCCCAAGGAATGAGGCTCTAATGTCATCATTTGCTTCATACAATACATCATACTCTAACTCATCAACAAATAGAACCACCTTTTTTTTACACCTATCTTTCCCAAACAATCTAGTGAATTCACTAGCAGATTTGCAGCAAAGTCAATATTAGAAGCATCATTAGTTTCGAATGAATGGCCCAGTGATATCCAGAATTTATCTACAGATTCCATGTTAATCAGCTCGAGAGTTATACTGCAAAGAAATGGAAACAACAATCAGATTCTGCAAATGTGGTCAATTGACTTAAACAAAACTTATTAAACAAAGCTTACTAGACACAAATAAAGCCTTCATGTATCAACTGTTCCATAGCTTGGATCACACGTGTGGATTTTCCTGAAGCGCGTGCACCATATAAAGAAACAGATTCTCCTCTCCGAATCATATCAAGGAGCGGAACACTCTACTTCATTGGATCAACGAAGTATACATTGTTACGTTCTGCATCTGGAATGGCACTATCTTTTTTTATTTGCTTTCGTAACTGTAGAGAACTATTTGTAAGAACAAGGAGCAAAATGCATGGAAAACAGAGTTCTACCATATATGCCTTACGTTCTTCCGTTGCTTCCCTTTTTCTCTTTAGCTCTAAGCCCTCAATTTTATCTTTTATGAACATTATAAATAAAAAGTCAATGCTAACTTAGTAACGTTGTCCTATAATTCACAACAAAGAAACATATTACTATATCTACTCTACCCTACTCTATGTCCCCAACGCCCGAGTCACAAAGTCGTTACCTTCTCCCAAGAGTTTTTTAACAATAACTCGAGCTTTCATTGCCCCAAATTCCTCTTTCCATATCCCCTCGTCAGAGGAAAGCAACTCCTCCCACTCGAACTCCTCGGCCTTTTCTGCCACATCGGGCCACTTTTTGGTCTCGGTCAACCAACCCAGGAACTCCTCTTTTGTCTGGGGTGATTTCTCGTTCGCGGGTGAATGACAAACTCCCTTATTATTATTTGGAATCACGAGTGATTTGAAGCTCGGATAGGGAGTCGAGAAGCGCGCATTTAATTTTAGGTCACTTGTAGATTAGGATCTACCGTAATAAGGGCGGTAGCACGAAGCTAGCACCTAGATCATCCAACCGTAACAAGAGCTCCATAAGTTCCATAGTAATAGTAAAATTGTAGTCGTCTCATAGCTATCTCTGTCTGTATACATGTGTTGCACACCAAATTTTTACAAGATATTTACTAATGTATTCAGTTTTTTTTTTTTAAGTTTTAAAAGAATCTGTTCACAAAGATAAAAAAACATACAACTTGAACAAACATGGCTCTTTAATTAAATGTTTTGTTCACAATTTGTTACGGTAACTATGATAGAGCTTAATATTAACAAGATGCATAAGGTTATCGTTACAATTGTTTTGCTAATACTGAAATATAAAAGTTTATAATTGAACACCACTTTTTGTTCTATATATACAAGCCACACAATTCCCAGTCCAAAGTACACTATTAATAAGTATATGTTAGGAAAAGTTTGAGATATCATGTCACATAGAAACTTACTAAATCTAATGTTGATTATAATAAACCTGGCCAAAGGATGAGTGCTATTTGAAGTAAAACATATTTGATTACATACATTAATATTTTCTCAATCTTCACAGAAGTTTTCAATTGCAGATGGTCTTTGTGTTGATCGTGTGCATTTTCTCTGGTATTGTATTATTGTTTCAATACTGCCATCCAGAGTTCCTGGATAAAACGAAAAACTCTATAGGAGCTGGGTTGTTGCATGAAATCATACAATCTAGATGGCGTTTCTTGAGGTCTTTTGCGCTCATAATTTATATTTCAATAGACAAAATTATAACGAACGAAAAGGCGGTAGTACATTTTTGTTTGATCAATAACTTAGGTGCTGTTGTTTACTCAACGGCCGACCATCCACTAGACGATGATTTGCCATTACTGGCTTCCGAGACGTTATCGCGGACGCCTTGAGTATTTAACAAACACCGAACAACTCTCTATTACTATCCCAAAATCGGCTGGCTTTCCACTAGGCGATGACTAGCTCCCAGTTACCGCAGACGCGTCATCAAGTTGCAATTTATGGAAAGAAATGTAAAGCCTACCTCACTCGAAGAAAACACAAACGGGTAGCAATTTTTCGGTTGTAATTATATAATTATGATTTGTATTTATGTTATAATCAACACAATAAACGCGCTCGAAACTCATGTGAGTATGTTTCTAATAGAAATTTTCTATCGCGCTAAATTGATAACCTTAAGAAAAATAAGTCAATTATAACCGACTGGCACGTATTCGCTGACAATAAGCGTGTAGTATAGATGGTATAGAAACAATAGATAGAATGATTTTTTCGACCTTTATCTTTCGGGAGGAAAAGTGCATGAAGTTATACAGTAAATAAGCAAAGGCGATTTATATCATGCTGCGTTCGTTGCACGAGTGTGTTACCGGAATTTTACGCGTGTTTCGAGCTAAAATTTAACGTATTTAACAGTGCACAACGTGAACAATGACATTCGGAATGCAAACAAATTCATGCACAAACTGGTATTCCACTCAGCATCATCTCAAAAAACTGAAGGGACGTAGCCAACTGGGAGCCTTACAGGTGCGATCCTCTCAAGGTCAATCAAAGAGCGAAAATTCACCATATATCATATTGCACCATTGTTCATGTTTTACGAATTGGAATTTGACTGGATAGAAGCGCACACACGATCCGCAAAGATAATAAAATGATCCCAAGCACTCAAACATTTCTTTTCCTATAGGAAATTTCGCTAAACTCGAATAATAAACATGGCTACTCATCCAGACAACCTCCCTTCAAGCAGATTAGAGCCGACATAAACTCACTGTATTCAACACACCAAAGGGAAAGGGTTATATGTAGAGAAGAGAATATTGAGGATTTATGAAAAAAGAGTGGCAGAACATCTCAAACAGAGTTGTAATAAATCTTGAAATTCAATGACGTTGTCAGAGTGTAACGGAGAAAGGATTAATTATTGTCACGGCTGATAGTGAAAACACAGGACCGATTTTTTTATTACACCTATTTTTTTTTTTTTTGAATTGCTGGTTGCAACATAGAATTATTTTAATTCTGATAAACAAGTCAATTAAGACATGTCTAATTTTTTATTTATATTTCCTAATGTTCATATAACGCGCTACTTATTTATCGAGTTACTCTTTCTGACTATCTCATTAACGACGCACAAGGTAGAAAATAATGACTAACAGTAAAGAGCATATATTTAGAGGGCATATTTTTGTAACACGCTGTATACACGATATCTATTAGGATACGCGCTAGTTTTAACATGTAATACAGAGGTGAAATAAAAAAGTGGCAAACCGATTATATATATATGGTAAAAAATAATGTGCTTTAGTAATGATATATTCAGTCCCGTTAGCATTCTAAAGCTGCAGTTCGACAAAGTGGCGTATCAATATGTTATTCATTGATACCGCTGAGGGAAAGCACTATTTACTATTTAGATTGTTAACGGATTGCACGCCGCCTTTATTTCTCTATTCTTTTAAACTTGGCAACAAAAAAGCCAATAGTTTCCTCACCACCAGCTATCCCTGGTTCAAACCTTTGAACGCGATGCCTTTCCTCTTCGTTCAAACCTGCATTGCGTAATCCAGGCTCACCAATCTTAATTTCTGGTTCAACCAGTATCAGGTAATCTGAAAACTCTCGTAATGCCCAGCCGACAACATGCTCGTTTTCTAAAGGATTTATCTGAGCACGGTAACATATACAGACGCGTACACACACATACGAAGCACATATACAGAAGATAAGGAGACACATCATTCAAAAGAGTGGTAACAACCTTAATTAAGCAAATCTGTCTACTTACCGTACATGTAGAGTATACTAGGGTACCGCCAGGACGTAAGAGGGCAAAGGCAGACTTGAAAAGCTTCTTCTGATAATCTGGTTGCACAGTGGCAAGATAGGTGATACTTTGATTTGGAGGAATAAATATTGGACGTTGACCTAAAATCAAAAACTTTTATGCAAGTATTCCCTTGGTGATTACAATCATAACGATAACATTACGAACCAATACCGCTGCAAGGTGGATCAAGTAATACACGATCAAATGTCTGTTCTGGGAAACCCTTAACCATCGTCCTCATTCCCGATCTTATATCCTCGACAGAAAATCTCGCCAACTCATCTGTAGACAATAAATGGGCCTTTGTTGCATCCAACACAAAACATCTTACTACATTCTCAACACCACACGCTTTCACAGTCTCGAGTAGCTTCTCCACTTTCTTCACTGATCTATCCAATGCAATAACCATGCCATTGTTTTGTAACAACTGTGCAATATGCGTTGTCTTCCCGCCTGGTGATGCGCACATGTCTAATACCAAATCACCCGGTTGCGGTGATAGCAAATGTGTTGTCAGAATACTTGGCAGATTCTGTAAAAAAACTAGGGAAGACAATTGAGGATTCGTCGACAGTGATAGAGTACGATATAGTGGAAAAGTCATCGTAACGCCTATGCCTGATAATTCTAATGGATTTGATTGGAATATTTGTGCGCGGCTCTGTCGAAAGATGGATGATGAGGTGGGGGGGAGGTGGGTTGCAAAGCGTGAGTAAACAGGGTAGTAATTAATGTCTTGGCAAAAACGAAGGATTAATGCTTTAAACTGATTCCCACCATTTCCATTCTGCCGTTCCCAATAAAGATCTTGGAACCTTTGTACTCTTTGAGGGAACCGCGTTTGCAGCTTCCATCAATATCAACCTTTTAGAATAATGATAAGAACAAGTTCGGATGTTACGCCTGAAAAGCACTTTAGATTCGTTACCATAACCGCGACTTCTTCTCCCTTCTCAACTTTTAGATTTAGAGATGTATTCGTCAGTTTCTGGATCTCAAAAGGTGACGCAAACTAACAAAAAAAAAAAAAAAGGACAGACAAACTTCTTTTTCTTTTTACCATTTTGAACGGCTAATACACCAGGCTGTAATAAGAGCACTGATACGTTTGGTATCATTGGTACATTTTATCTTCATCACTTGTCTACAATTCACGTCTCTTTCAACTTACTGCAAAGATATCGGCTCCACGGAGTATAGAAGTGCCAGCAAAGATGTCGACGACGACTTCTTTCTCGTATTGCTTGATGTCGAACGGACCCTCTACTGGGATACATAGGACGTCAGGAAGAATTGAATGCTGAGTAACTTTCATGGCTAACGGCCATTGTTTATCTTTACATTGCTTCGAGATTGATAATTGTCAATTTCCGATAATAGCATGTTCTATGAAAGACTCAGGAATACGTAAATCTACCTCATCTACAAAGCTTTGAACCACTTGTTGTACTTCTTCTCGTGGTTCAGAAACGATACGCATAAATGACATGGTCGGAGCAGTAGATAACGCATCACAAATAATCTGCCACTTTGATTGAGTATAGTATTTCAGAAAGTATCCATTGATTTCTGGGGAAAATCTTATCGGCGGTAACTTTGTCAATGACATTTTCTATAATTTTTTAATCTTTTTCAAATATACGTGAATACTTCAAAAATAGTTTCGTCTGTAGATTTTTATTGAGTAAATAAACATATTTTATGAGAGTCTTTTTTTACACACACATCCCTCCCCCCCCCCCCCCCCCCACTGCAATGACTATTGAAAGATGATGTCGGCTCACTGGTAAGGAATTTAGATCATGATCATTCTCCTCGGAGAAGATAATCACCAAACTCCAGCTAGTGAGTCAATTTGTTCAAGGAGTCGTGTAGAAGTAAACCGATTGAGAAATACGATTTACTTACAATAATCTAACCCCAGTTTGAGTACTTGGAGAAAAAAAAAATCTACGATGTGCATCACTTTATTCTACAATTGACCAATCATATTCACAAAATGGATGGAGGGAAAATGGCAGTGCTCGAAATATACTAATACGGCAAATACTATGACTAGATAGGTCGGAAAACGTCGATAGACTTTTTAATGCCAATATTTATGTGTGTGCAGCTATGGATATATTAAAAAACAAAACATTGCTCTCTTTCAAAACCATGCTAATTCCGTAATAGTTTGTTCTTTTCTTCTTTTAGCTTTTTTGGCTTTAGAAAATCCTTTACCTTTTTTTCCATTTTCGCTTACAAAAACGTGAAATCTTATAATATGTAAAAATAACTCCCAATGCTTGCTAGTTCAGCAGGCAACCAGTCGAGCTCACAAAGCTCCACCGGATACGGAAGACGGCCGTGGAGGTGTTTGGAAACATGATGGTAAAGACATATGCAATCTTCTACCGCTTCTGGGTTTTCCTTGTATTCCTTCCAGACGTTCGTTAAATGTATTTTAAAATCAATGACAGCTTAATGTCCGAATGAATGCTCTTGATTGAGGATAACATGTTATTTCAAAGCTGATTATCATGCCTAATATCAATCCTAATATTTGTACCCTCCTGAATGTTTGATCGAGACATAACTTCTGTGAAATAACTACCATTCTATATTGATTCCCTTGCGGGTGAGAATAATATCAACCTCCGACGATTCAGCAGCAGCGTATGCCGAGGGGCCGCCGCTCTATGTCCGGCATGACGAGACAGGTATGGGGACGGGCGGTCCTGAGAATATCTATAAGCAATATTAGTATAAACATACGCAACGTAACAACCAATCAAACATAAAAAAACAAACCAACCTTAATATAATGAATTATTCCTACCCCAACAATCAATTAAATTCGCATATAAATTTATTACACATTATCGCTTCTGGGTTATGCCTGCCATATCGAGCAGCTCCTTGTATGTTGTGTGTGCGCAGGCATCTTTAGTGAAAAAATCAGCAACTAAGATGCCTACAGAACCTGGAGGAAAATCGTCAAATGCCCTCAGTTGTTGGACGAAGCGTGGACCTTAATGAGTTAATGTTTATAATTTTATATTATTATTATCGATAAAAAATTTTACTTATTCGTATAACCATTTTGAAAACAGCAATGGTTCTCACATTATAATTCCCATTTGTTTTCTCCAAATCTTGAAGTACTCTTGCTTGGCACACTACTATGTCAATACCTCCGTCACCTGGTCCGTTACTGTAAATAAGAGAAGAATGAGTAAATGTGTCATCATAATCAGAACCATTTGAAGAACGGTCACGGCAGGCCGTCCACCTATACGCCAGGGTACCTGACTGGCGACTTTCGCAAGCTGTGGCCACGAAGCGCTTTCAATTCAAATGGTCAATGTATCCTATTCACCACACCGACAATTACGTCGTAACGGAGAATTGATATACAGGCAACATACAAACTCATTTAATTTTAATTCAGTAAAAAAAATACTAAAGATGGTATTAACTTGGAATGGTTCAAAAAATGGAATCCCGCTTGTTCGCGTTTTACAAATTTCCTCATACATCAACGATGTATTGTAACGTAGTTGAGTCATAAACTAGTTTTTAATGAATATAAACCAATACATCTTTATTTTGGTTCAGATTTAACCAAATTAACTCGAGAAGAAACAAGAAGGATTTTAACAATATTATGAAAATGATAAAAAAATTATAATAATAAAGATTGTTAGAGCCATCTTTTTTTTAGACTCGGTGAAGTTAATCAAACCCAAATACAAGTTTTTTTATCTGTTAAGACGATGTTATATCCGGCTGACTCCTTGGCTACTTTTGCACACTTAGTAAATTTATCTTTGGATCGGGCCACCAAGATACAAATAATAAATTCTTTATTGACACTTGATAAAATTTCCATTCTCTGTACATCTTCAAATACCGCCTCCTATGACAATAGATAGTCCATGTGATCTACATAAAAATTTTCATAGAATACCCCCGAATAATTATGAAAAAATGTCCAGTTTAGAATCAATTGAATTTTTTTTAAGTTGTCTTTACAGAATTTATGATAACCAATGGTAAGTCTACCAGTTGAAGTCAAACAAGGCTATTTTTAGGGACTTGCCAAGCAAACAGTAAGTTTGAACACAAAGGTGTCACGAATGTAGAACGTTAGTTAAAGTATCGAAACCATGTTGATTCTTGTTTTATTATTTAAACTGACGACTTAATAATTGTTTCGCTGATATTATTTTGTAAATATGACTTGTGATTGTTAATCAACGGAATTATTATAACATGCAGCTTTATTTAATCAAGGTAATTTTACCATGCATTTAACAATTCGCAGTTCTTTACAACGAATCATGTCTAAGATTAACAAGACGCTAACCCTATCAGTTTCATTTAATAGTCTTCACCGATTTATCACGCCAGCCAGAACAAGTAAGAGTGCATTTGATTCATCTAAAGTATCACATTATATAATTAATTTCGTTAACATTGACTGTCTGTTATATGAAACTGTCATGCCGAGGGGATAACCTGATGTCTGAACACTATTACTATTATTTAATTACAATATTGAGTATAGGACTTATTAACGTTTTACACAAGTGGAATAGAAATTTATCAATTTTTGTCATGTTGAGTACTGCGAATTAACAAGACACACTGTTATTGTGGCTTAGCATAAGTTTTTACGTAATTGTATTTGGACTGTGACATTGTTTTGTTGCACCAAGTTCTTTGTACTTAACAGTGGGATTTCTTGGACGAACAGAACTATTATTACATCAAGTCAATTTTAATCGTTCAAGCTGTATAACCGCTCTAATTGAATATATTGCATGCCATTTATGCACCTTGGATAAATGCTATTCTTGAGTGAATCGTAACTGTGGACTTTGTTGCACTAACAGAGACCTTGTCAAACTTTCCAAATATATGCAACACAATAATCCATATTAGGTTTGAGGGAAGGGCGTAACCGGGTACTCACTTTAAACCGGATCTAATACTAATGCGACCAGATTGTGGTTCACATTATTTGCGTTACAGTGGCGATATTAGCATGTTGTACTGTCAAGGGTAATACTAATATAATTACCGGTCATCTCATTCAACAGGCCGCCTTACTGCGAATCTCCAAGCCTGCCTGTATTGGCTCACTTTGAGACGATCAAGTACAGCTATGTAAGGGACTGTGTGATACCGTTATATCGTTATGACCAATCCAACCATCGAGAAGCTGCAGACCAAAATAGTAACTATGTACCCATGGTTATGATTATGATTATCGCCACGGTAGCATTAAAATAATGCTAAAGGATTAATGGAGTATACTCAACTATTTCATTAACAAGCAACTAATTGTTGTTGTTGACTCTGTTCTACTTTTTGTGTATATGCAAGACGCTTGACTTCGCACAGCGTGGTCCGGTACGCTTTTTCCCGAAGAATTTGGCGCGGCGCTATCCATATATGGATTTGATCGGAAAAATACTTGGCAAATTCCTTATGTGGCTATCGTTACGAGCCACCCCCAAATGCCGAGTGATATGACGTCAGTTACGGAATGAATAAATATATATAGTGGGCAAAAACTCACGTCTCATAATAATAAAATAGTTAAAGTCATGGTTAACTCTCCATTACCGACCGACCTTGCTGGTAATGAATAATTGCCTTGAAGTGTAATTGGAAAGCCACTTGCTAGAGTATACAGTTCTGACTTTTTTGCTATTTTAATTGCAGGTGAATGCCGAAAAGCTGCAAAAATTTTAAACAGTTTCATAGGTATGTTGGCGCCAAGCTGTTTAGTTATTCTATTCAAAGTTGTCAGACAACGTGGTCCTTACGGTTTACTTTTATTCTCCTTCTTTGCACTACCGAACCTTAACAGACCCTGTCGTGGCGAAGGTACTACACTATTCAAACATTTTGCGTTCAATCCAACCGAATTGGTTTTTGATCTAATCTTCTTCAAATACAGGGACCAGACAAGGTTATTCCTCCCAACATCCTGCAAAAAGCTAAGGGATTTGCTATATTTACAGTCATTAAAGCCGGTTTCTTGTTTTCCGGTCGAGCTGGCTCAGGATTGGTGGTTGCAAGGTATGTCGTTTTGAATCGATTTGTGTATTTTAACACGTGTTCGATATTAATTGCTTACTAATGCGCTGTTTCTTTCTCTTACGTTAATAGACTCGAAGACGGATGTAAGTTATAGACTACAGTTAATGAGATGCATTTTTTAAAACTGTGAATGCGGTATCTAATTGTTGATATTTTGGTTACCTTAGCATGGTCTGCACCTTCTGCGATCGGTACTGGTGGCATGGTAAGCGAGGAGTATTTATATCTTACATAGATCCTGATTATCATTGTCGTTAACAATTCTTGTATTTTAAACAGGGTTTTGGCGGTCAGATCGGAGCTGAAGTTACCGACTTTGTAATTGTCCTAAATAGCCGCGATTCTGTGAAATCATTTATGCATGGGGGAAATTTGACATTAGGTGGCAACTTGTCAGGTATTATAAACATACTCCTATTCATCACCTTGGAAATACCACAATTGTATGCGTATGATAAATTGATGTATCTATCCACTGTGCAGTTGCTGCTGGTCCAATTGGAAGAAATGCTGAAGGAGCAGGTTCAGTTTCCGTAGGACATGTTGCCGCTATATTTTCTTATAGCAAAACAAGAGGTCTTTTTGCAGGTAGATGTTCAGACATGTTTGAATTTGTCTTTTTTCTTTTTGTGGTTCTGTCTCTCTGTAATTCCGTTTTCCATTGGTTGATGTTCTTTCTCATACGTCAAGGTGTATCGATCGAAGGTTCAGTAATAATTGAGCGCAAAGATGCAAACGCCAAGTTTTATCACCGAAAAGTTTCCGCCAAGGAGCTACTCTCTGGACAAATCGCCCCACCAGCTCAAGCTGATATTCTCTATCGCGCCCTCACTGCTCGCGCAGCGCGTTCAAATGCAGAAAATTCAAACGGCAATAGTTTTACTCATACAATTCACAATCCTCGCTTAGAATCTGGACGAAGTAATATTCGACACAGCCAACCTCCTCCATACACTCCTGGAGCCTATCAGGCAGATGAAAAGCAAACTTATGTAGGCAGGAGCAATAGCCTTGGTAAGCCGGCGTTGGCGCCCAAGCCAAAGATGCCCCAACCGGCTCCACAGTTAGTGGCGGTAGCATTGTATGATTTTGCTGGTGAGCAAAGCGGGGATTTGAGTTTTCGAAAAGATGATATTATCACTATAATAAAGAAATCCGGGAGCACGAATGACTGGTGGACGGGAAAGCTCAACGGGCAGGAAGGGATTGTAAGTATTTGCGTGATTGGTGTTTGTTTATACGTTTTCAAACCGTGATTGCATGCTTAAATCTCATATCATCTATCCATTTCTTCACTAGTTTCCTGCTAATTATGTCTCTATTATTTAACTGACTATGCTATGAGGCAACGAATTTGTATTTATAATTATCAACTTAGTAATTCAATTTTTAGTGATAGTTTCGACAGTTTGTTTTTCTGCGAGAAATGACAACGACTCTTTATGATAATAAACTACACTTCTGTATATTATTTATTTTATCAATACGGATCTTTCTTTTAGTTCTTGGGGATGTGTCATCAAAGACGGTTGGTTTCGGTCTGCTTTTATTACCGTTACCATAGCAATAGAATTTATCAGACATTGTGATATAATCTTTGTTTATTTCAACGGGAAGGTGATAATTGAATGTGCAGTAGCACCGTATTGTCAAACCGCTTGAGTTGACTACACTAGTTAAGTAAACGTTCAAGAACGATAGGTTCTTAACCGATGATACGCGACTCATCGAAAAAATAGTCTCAACTTGTAAATATTTAGATACTGTCTTATCGAAACTAATGTTTTCGTTTCATTGAGGCAAAAATAAAGGTTACAAATACTTGTTTGAATATTGAAACTAGAATTTTTTTGGTTATGAATTTATATCTTGGTTTGATTCATCGGGTGGAAATTTCGTCGCTTATTCCTATTACTATGTGTTTGTCAATACAAATTACAAATTAAAATTTGAAAGTAGACTAATATTGGAGGGACCAACTGAAACACTCTTATGGTTTGCCTGAATGATATTAATATAATTAACAACTTGTAAATCCAATTCCCATCACCAATCGAAATAGACTTTGCGAATTTTAACAATATTACATTGAAAACTATAATAAACTAAAATCGGGCAAAATCTCGTATTCAAAATTTTCCAATGCCTTTTGTGGATAATTTTTATTGCATCCATCAAATATATTAACCATTGTGCAATCTATATTAATATCATTTCAGGGAAATAATTATTACCTGCGTGATCTCCGTGTCAGCTCCTCGCGGTTGACCTCCTCCTTGATCGGCCGTTTAGCGATCTCCGTACAAACTAATGAAGCTCATAGTATTTTTTACCCACACAATTGTCAATATATTTTGGCAGAATTAACTCTTTTATTGAACATTTACGAGTAGCGTAGACCTTCTGTTCATTTTGCTGACGCTAGAGTCTTGCCAGTCACGCATGCCATAACAGACGTTTTGTACTTCTTTCTCTGAAATCATTTCGGGGGTTGATCCCCAAATTGATTCTAATAACTGATTATTTTATCTAATCTTATCGCTATCTATTGATAATGCAGCTGCACGTGCCAAATCAGTAGTCAATCCATTTTTTACGAAGTGACAATCCAAGCTCTGGGGGAACCACGCCATATATAGCATTTATCACCGAATAGGTTGGAGTCTACCTATGCCTATTTTATCGATTACATCACGGCGGTTGAGATAATTTAGCGAGATCTTAGTAATAGGCTTTCAAACAATAGTGAATACAACTTTGCGAATTAAATTGGCATAAACGGACTGTACCGACACCAGTTTAACGAGAATGCAAATTACCCTTTTAATACTCTAAGTTTGCCAACAAAAGTTTTTCGTCGAGATAGCGGTTTACTGTCATGATTGTGACCATCCAATAAAAAGCCGTCTTCAAAAAATTTTAACAAAGACAGTTTCTCCCCCTCATTTTAGTATCGGTACTAAAATGTATACAGTATATTAATATAGTTAGCATATCGTAGTGACCACATAAATATTTATCAAACCAATGCGTATTCAGTATATTGAACGTTTCTTTGGGAATTCCGGCGATAATGTTCATGAATAAACAGATCTTTATCCGACTTTATTCTTCTTACAACTCATTAAAGACGAGTAAGTAAAACTGTAAGGCAAACGAAAATAGGTAGTAATACTGCAACTAACAAAAAATTTCGTTTAATTATGTCAAACCTCCATAAATGCACGTCCTTGGGAATGAGTCTCAGCATTTTATTAGTTTTACGTGACTTTCTCGTTGTTCACTCGCAGACTTTAAACCAATGTAACGTTCAAGCACTTTCACATGTTTTAGCAACTCTTTAGAGTCTTACAGAAATGAACGAACCGCATTATCATATGATTCGAATAAAGACACGACAGATTCTGATAGGCTTTTGCAGTATTTGATGATAGTTCTTTAATGTCTATTATGACTTTAGCTTTAACAAAATGCAATACTTTCGCTTCCACAATGATCAGAAACCCCCTTTTCCATCTGTTACTGAAATTGAGACAAATATTCGGGATAAAGCTGCTTAACGATCACAATTCACTTGGCTTGATAGAAATTGAGCATGCCAACCACGTTTATAACACTTTGTATCGTATGGTGCGAATTACATGAAAATCACGGGGGTGCATTTAGAGGGGGTGTGATACATATGAATGCAATGCAATGCAGATATGGGGGTGTGTGCACTTATGGATGATTGACTGTAGATATCTTGGCTTTATCTATTAGCAATGTATTCTCTTTTTCCCCGGCTTTCACATAATTATGCATTGTGACAGATCAAAAACGAAATGGGATGTACAAAATAAAACCCGTTCAAATACTGTCGATAATATGGACAAGTTGTATTTATTACCGTTACCAAACGCGCTATTTTCAATAGGCATGACGTTTTATATTTAGCTAACCTTGGCTTGACTCGCAACTATGCTCGGTCTCTTGCTGTTATTGCTTACGTCAGTTTATCATCTAACTCAGGAATTTAAACCAGTGTTCCGGAGCCACTACGTCCCGTAAAGAAATTGCAAGTCGTATGATTAATCAGACAGACCACACGATTGGTTGACATTGTATGATTGAAAAATCGTATGATCATACAGCAATCGTATGATCAGATCAAATGGTTTTTGTTCGATTGTCACTTTTCTATGAAGATAATATGTGACACTTTACAATTTTTCTGACGACGAATACAAAGAAAGCTCGAAATGAAATACGAGAGCGACTCCTTTCTAAGGATAAATCAATAAATAGAGACTTTCAGAACGGATGTGTAGTTACAATTTTAATTCCCCATACCGATCGGTACAGCAAACGCAAGACAAGCATAGTAAAAAGAAACTTGTTTGTTACAATTATGATATCTGAATGTGCGGGCGCAATATTACGTCTTCAAGTAGTGAAACGCACAGTATTTTGGGGCTTTACGCATAGTGTTCCTGTTACTTGGGGTCTGGCATAGGTTTGTTAAACATTTATGTTTAAGAGGTTTTAGTGCCTTTATGACTCATTGTTGGAGCTCGATCTATCATCTATATCGGGAGGACAATTAGTCGGTATACTTCTATATGAAATCAGACGAACGTTGGTATCAAGATTAATACACATGACTTTGTTCATTCCCCAGACGCTAATGTCAACTATACGCAATGGAAAGGTTCAGTAGTATAAATTAAACCGGAAATTGTGATTGCGTGAGAATTTTCACTTTGAGGTTTGTCCCACCACTTTATAGCACAATGCCCCTTAAATAGATGATTGTTTTTGATTTACGTAGAAAGTTTATTTTTTAATTTTAACGTTCTCCCTGGAGTTTACTGGATGGGGGAATGTACCAGAAAACCAATCCTTTAGTCAACTAAAGATTGCTCTTTTCCAAGCAATATAATAATAATACAACTATCGATGTTCAAAGCTTCGTGCACATCATGAATAGTAGATTACTAATTTGTGCAATCGCATGTATACAGGTCATTTGAAGGAACGGCATACTAGTAGCGACCAGTAATACGTGACTGGGTACATTAACTACAGACACTTGTTTGGTTCAGTGGTCATTAATTTCTTTTCATTAACTTACTACACTAATACTAACCTCGTTAATCAAATATTTTGTTATCATAATGTCTGATCGTCGTACACTTAATAACCAATTTTAGCAAAGTGATCGAATCTATACAGCAATAAATAATAACATTACATAGGCACATACTAAGCTTTACAACCCATCTGAGTTTATTAATGAATATCTTTACTTTCTTTGATATTTATAAACATTCAAAGAATTTTAACGCGCTGAAAATATTGCTATTGTAATAAACTATACCCAATACACAATAGTTCTCCCTCTCTCGTGAATACCCTACACATAACAATGCTTAAAGCGTGCGGTTCGTTTGCTGGTTACGTAATATAATTGTTTATTAGATCATGCGAATTCGGGGGAACAATTGTGGCGTGCTATTGTGGCATTCAGCCAGTTCTTGAAAGGGCTTCACGAAAGGAATGTCCAACCAAATTTTAATTTCAGAAGCGAGACCGTAAGAAGGGAGTACAAGATTTCAAATGTGAAACAACAAAAAAAGCTAGTGTTGTCCCTCCCCCAAAAATATTTCTGGTTTTTTGGTCTTGGATATCTAAAGTAGAATCGATGAAAATCGATGAAACTAGTAACACAACTCCTTTGAAAAGATTATCATCAGGGACACCGACAATCGAAAAAAGGCGAACTAAGATCACGTAGAACTTTTATGCATGTAAGTGTGTCTTTGTTTCAATAAAGACAATCGACAACAAATAACAACAAGACGGTTCGATTGATGCTGAAATTATGAATTATATCTTTGCATCGTATCACAAAATCTTTGTATTTCGTGCATTATTTTCACATGATTGAAAATAGTCGAACGAACACACATGAAAGAATTGTTGAAAAAAAGAAAATCTACAAGCGTTTCTGTAGCTGCGTTACCAAATAAAAAAATAAGAATTCAGCAATATCTGGGACTGTCTTTATAAAAAGTCGCTTGCATTGGGATAAAAAATTTTGAACTAGATCGATAATTGACTGCGCCACATGGAAATTCTGATCAACGATCATTAACAAATTAAACTTTATGCTTTCCCTCAATTCCCACCCCATTTTCTCACCCAGCCAATTGAACTTTTACGCTTACGGGATAGCGAGTGTTTGTTGTTATTATTCATTATATATAACGTTATTTGTGCTGAACTTGTCGAATAGAAGATGGATACTCGCATGCTACTTTTTAAATTTGCATAGACGAGCCATCCACAAACAGGTGAATAATTCCCCAAACGGTTGTCACTTTGTTCAGAAAAGAGGGATCTTGTGTGAGTCACGTTAGTAATTATTTTGTTATCTATGCGCAGAGCATCCCATTGCGATGACGTTTTCCATGGCGCTATCTCCGCAACTCTTGCACTTATTTGTTTATTTTACTTTCGGCAACTGTTGACGGGCTTGCTTCTTCTTTCTCTGTATTCGCCCCCCCCCTTCCCCGTGCCCTCACCCCATTTATTAAGTTGGACTTCTTTCTCCTTTGTAGTTAATTTATTAAGCGTTTTTTCGCCTTGCTAGATCGACCACTCTTTATTCTGTTCCGCATTAAAGCAGTGTGTCGTTGCCAATAGACAAACATTAGTTGCATCCCTGGGAACGAAAAGAAGAAAAAAAAAGTTTTAGTAAATTTATTCTTTCTGGAAATACTAAATTCACGAATAGTTTTAAGGCGTAATTAATATACATTCAACGAAACAAAGGGCTTAGCATTCTTTAGACAAATGTTTAATCGTTTCTTATTGTTTCTGCTGTTGGCGCACTGCCTGTTTGTCGCGCACTGGGTACACTTTGGAAACGGGGCTGCTGACGCTTCGATTGTTATTGTGGTAAGATAATACGGTTCAATATTGCATTGGGTTGTCAATAGAATCAATACGATTATTGTCAAACTCGATGGAATGCTTTAGTGTGAATGACTTTTTCTTCATGTGTGCGATATTTATTACTTTGTGTGAGTACGATGATCATGTTAATTGTTATGAGCCCTTTCGCTAGAATTCCCATCAAAGTTTTGTCACTTTCACCAATGTAAAAAGAACTGACCGATACAATCACTCCACTCTCTCTCCAACCCCTCTTTTGCTCTTGTTATATGCCTATTGTTTCACATCCCGTAACTTTTCTTGCTCGTACTCGATTCTCACTATAATCTTGCTTTTAGGCTACCAATGTCACCTTCCAAGATCGTATAGCAGCTTTCGGTCCTCGCCTAACCGAAGAAGGCCTCACAGGCAATCTGGTAACGGCTGCCAGTATCGACAAAAATAACGTCAAAGGCTGTGAAAGATTTAAAAAGCCAATCGTCGGCAAAGATTTGATTATTCTTATCGAACGAGGTGAATGCTCATTCATCGACAAGGTGCGCAACATGCAAGCTGAGGGATTTGTTGCTGTCGTTGTTGGGGATCCTGTACATCGAACTTTGATTACTATGTATGCTACGGGTAAGTAAAATGTTGGGGGATGGTGGTGGACAAGGATGTTATCTGGAAATGTAACAAGCATGCATATAGTTATGCTTGGCTCTTTATGTGGTCCCTTCTTTCTTGCGTTGCAAGGACAGTAAAACGCTGTTATGTTATTATTGTTTTCGTTTATGTGAGCAACTTCTACCGGTTTTGGTTTTGACTTGTATATACCAATCCAGCTTCATTTTTCTTTCCAGGGGATACACGAGATGTACAAATACCTTCCGTCTTTGTTGGACAAGATGACTACCAAAAGTTGACACAACTCTCAGAAATGGAGGAGGGTGTTTTAATAAAGCTTACAAAAGACGATATTTTGCAGTAAGTATTTTTATTACGGTCTTACATTTAGCAAGATGACAACATTTATCTAATACGACATGGCTACTTTCTTTTGAATCCCCTCCCCCATCACTTTACAGACCATTATTAGATGTCATTATCGTGGTCATTCTTTCTCCGACTATAATGATGATATTCATCTACATCGTTTGGCGTATCCGCCGACGACAGAGACGAAGACAAGACATTGCTCCTCCTCAAGTCGTTTGTAATCTTCCTATTAAAATCTATTATACGTCTAGAAGACAGGAGAATGATCCTACCGAATGTTGTATCTGTCTGGAAGATTACCAAGATAAAGACGAACTCCGAATCATGCCTTGTAAACACGAATTCCACGTTGCTTGTATCGATAGTTGGTTGACGAGACAAAAAGGATTTGTAAGTATTTTGGGAGGATGCATCAGAACAGTATGTGGTTGTTTGTGTATGATTACTAACGTCATGATCTATTATTCATTGTTGGCCTACAGTGTCCAATCTGTAAACGTGATGTCTGTACGGCAACGGAAGAAACGCCTCTGTTGCCCTGATGGATTGCATTTCGCCTTTACGAACGTGAAAAAGGTTTTTGCATCCGTTTCCTCTTGTGATAATAGTTTTGTTTGGGATTTTCTTTTTTTTACAAAGATGTCGAATATTTTCTTTCCGGGTGAACTAAATTACTGTTGATAATAAAAAAAAACTCTATTTGTGTAAGATATATGATTTAGCTTAAATGCTGATTGAGTACATACTACATACAGTATATATTATATTATATCTCCACTTGGCTGGCTTTGGTTATAGATTTGGACGTGATGAGAAATTTTTATAAAAATATTCCATTTATGCTTTTTTGTATACGATGCCGCTTATAGATGGAATTTGTTGAGGTGATGTTTACTTTTTGGTGTGGTGTTTATACTTGTTTGGTTAACCTGACTTGACTTAGAAAGATCAAATAAATAAAATCATTATGCATTATGCAATGAACTTTCCAAATATTAGTTACGAGTTTGAATATGATTGCTTCACATGCTAACTAGTTATGTGCAACTATTGATAATTTTTTAACATGTGACATGTAATGACAATTTATAATAAACGTCATCATCCCCATGATTGTTTTCACTTACGCACGTATGATATTTGCAGCGAAATAAGACAAATGCGATTATGGAGGATATTCGTGGAATCCTCGTGTTCTTGTTGAATCAGCTGATGCGAAATTGAGCAATAAACAAACTATGGGGGTCGTACCAACGTGCCGATCGAATATCTAAACCATAAATGGATATGTCTTTCCTTTCTACGTGTATTCAATACCTAAAGGACAAAAACGTCTTCCAACCTTTAATTCTCGGTTTATGTTGTAACTGTTCGCTCTTCTATAAGATAATTATAATAATGATAATAGGTATATTTCATAATTACTGTTGCTTTCAGACCTAGGCGGCAAAGACTCGCTTGTTTCCATGAAAACTCTCGAGTTATTATTGGTATATAAAAAATTTTGATGTTACCGACATCCCCAACGCACTGACTAAAACAGAATTAATTGTCAAAATTGGTGTTAGAGCTTGTCAATTTGGCAAGAATAAGTCGTGATTTTATCCTGAATGCCAATTAAAGCTACCAGATATGTCTTGCAACGCAACCTCCATGGGAACAGAAGAGTTATATATTTGACAAGCTGGTAAAGGCATGTGTTAATATATTGATTACTTGCTATTAATCACAAACATAGCTATAAACAATTATCAACTCCTCTACTGTATAATAACAAGGCTTTTCTGAAAATCCCAACAATGTTCATTCCTCTATCACCTCCTATGAAACAGCAAACGAATTTAATTGAATAATTTTTGTCATAATATTGAAAAACATTTACCACTGTACGTTAGTGACTATTACTATAAAAATAGTCGATTTTTCTCTAAAATAAGAGGTATAAAATAAAAAATTGGCAGAAAACAAATCAATTCTCTAATATAACCGTTTATTTTAATAAGCAATAGTAATGGCAGTTTAAACAAAAGAAAAAAGTTTTTATTGATATTAAAGGAAGCGTGTCACGATAAATCTTTTTGGTTGATAACTCGAATTCCTTGAGAAGCCGCCAGTCGAGTTTACCTACTATAAAATAATAAATTAATATTAATGAATGAATGACGACTAACCAAGTTGGCTGGTTGGTTTAAAAACAGCACTCAAAGTCGTCATGATCATTGTTACGAAGCATAAAAAGATTCAATTTAGATGCATCCTATTTTACGAATGTCATTAAAAAATTTAAATGTCCTTTCCAAATCATCAATGAGTAACATAAATGTCTGCAAGAAATGTTCCAAATTGAAATAAAGATGTTATTGAATAATCTGCTACTAAAAATTTCGAAGCTCTTTATAAAATTACGTGAGACCGACTTGTCAAAAAATGTCAGAGACTCGTGTAAATTTACTATAACGGGATTAATTAATAAGCATAAATTCAGAATTTGTTTGCAAGAAGACAAATTCATTGTATACTACGAGTTTCACTGTGAATAATGATTATACGGACCGTAATATTTTATTAGATACAAAATATTTACATCTAATTAAGATTTTATTGATGCATACCAAAAGATGGAATTAATTAAAAATAGTAGAGCGCAAATTTTAAACCGTTGCACTAAAATTTGTGTTTTTATTTTGCGAATGTTGGGTATTCACTACTAATATGAATAGTGTTCAAAAGATTTTTACTGTATCCAACATTTACGTATAACTCATATGTTGGGCAAAAGTTTAATGACACTGTAAAAAATCGATATAGTATATGCGTCTGGACAAGGAGAAGCCAGTGCTCAAAGTAATCTTGCTTTATGTCACGCCAATGGAATTGGTGTAGAGAAAAACAGTTGAGTTTTATCAAAATGCAGTAAAATGCATATATTAATGCAAGTTAAAAATGGTAGACATTATCAGTTATAGCAAAATAACTTGATTGACTTTACAACACATTATTGTCCTGTATTACGAAAATGGGATGAAAGCAGACATTCAAAAGAGCAGCAAACAAGGACATACTAAAGCACAAATAATGCGTATACTTTTTATGAAAATGGGTTAAAAGCAGAAATAAAATAAGAAATAAGATGAGTTGTATAATAATAAAGGCATTAAAAAGGGCTTTAGATATATTTGAGCACTCTATATATTAAACTCTATTATGCATCTAGGAGACAGGAGAATAATCCTACTGGATTGTTGCCGCTAAACAGAACAATCACCACGTGACAACAAATATAGTGTTGCGTCGCGTTCTTTTGCAGGCAAATTTTGTCTACTTAAATAATTGGAGAAAAATTAAGCTTTGAATTAACTTTTCATATAACTTCCTGGCTTAAATTGACTGGAGCATCCTCAACAGTCAAGTCATATGATAAAATTAAACCACGTTACAGCATGTGTCAGGCGACCCAAACAAATGACAAAATCCTGAGTCGCATGAAATTTACTATACTTTTTCAGCCACGAGGTCTCTCAAATAATCCAAGGAATTCGTTTTCAACTAGCACATATCTGAACGAAATAAACTTACTATATAATACAGTCCCGGATTTGTCCATGCAGATCATCCTAGATTTATTACAGAACATTCGAGAAAAAAAGGTCTGAAAGCATAATAATGCTATTAAACCTTCTTTATTGGTATTAATAATGCTTTAATAAAGTCTATTCATTTCTTCACTTAGTATCCATTCACAGGCATTCGGATTTACAAATTGTGTCTTTCTTATCCGAACCCGAAATATATGCGAGTCAGTAATAAAACTAGGACGTGTACGAGGCCTATGCGTTTCACCTTCAGAATATCCTATTATATTAAAAAGATTAGTACGTAACGTCACAAATTTAGTACAATTACGTGCCGCGATTTCCCAATGCTGCTGTGAAGGTGCAGAAGAAACTAATGATTTGAGTGCTTTGTTTATTTCTTCAAGTATTGCATCGTGGCCTTGATGCCGATTTGAAAGCTTAGATCGTGAAGTCATAATTCTTTTTGCAAATTTCAGGCTTCAACCGTAACATCCGCAATTTCGATCGATAAATAGGATGCCGCCTGGCAGACCAAATCGGCGCACTTAAAAAGCTTTTCCCCTTTATGTTGATCTTCCTTTTCGTTATGAGTAAGAGTCTCACAACGACTGGATTTTGCTCAGCAAGGAGAATATTCTAAAAGACTATCTAAACCAAATCGCTCATGGTTTTTCATCAAACTTATTATATCATCGTACAAA